AGGGTTAATTGGAGGGGGCGAGGTTTTGGTTTGGGGAGGCGGGTTTGCTTTAGGAGGGGGTGCAGTGCTGCGGGGGGGAGGGTTAACCGGAGGGGGCGAATTTTTGGTTTGAGGTGGAGGGTTTGCATTGGGGGCCGGGGGCTGTGACAACGGGGTTTTCGGAGGGGGAAGGGCCCGTCTAGGACGAGGGTTGAACGCCGGGGGCGGGCTTTTCATTTGTGGAGGCGGGAAAGATGAAGCCACGGGACTTTGCGTCGGGGAACCCTTGGGCGGTGGATTTTTAGGTGGTGGACTACCTTGCACTGGGGGAGGTTGAGAGAGCGCAACTTTTGGAGGAGGGGGACCGCCCAGAGGGGGAGAATTGCGAAGTGGCGGCAGGTTTTTAGATGCAGTGGGGGGAGGGGAATAAGGCACAGGGCTCTGAGGGGGGGGCACTTTGGGCAGGGGAGACGACACGAGTGGTGGCGGGTTGGCTCGAAGTGGGGGAGGCTGAGAGAGCGGGGCCGCGGAGGATTTGACAGGGGGAGGAGACGAAAGAGACGCGCCAGGAGGGGGGAACATTAGGTAGGAGAGGAGGGGTGGAACTTGTGGATTTTGGCGGCGGCTTGGTATTAGGGGGCGGAGATGCAGGAAGTCCGGGGTTGACAGGAGGGGGCCTTTTAGAGGGGAGAGAGGTTGAGGGTGGGGCGTTGACTTGCGGAGGGGGGGCCGACGTGACTTTGGTAGGGGCGATAAGGGCACAGCCTTGGGTGGTGGGGTACCTTGCAGAGGGGGGGAGCCGCTGGTGCTAGTGGGGAGGGGAGTGCCACTCTTTGTCGGGAGGGGAGTGCTGGGTAAGGGAGGAGAAGGAGAGGGACTGGACGGCAAAGGACTAGGGGGTGAGGACGATTTAGGCTGGGGAGATTGGGACACAGGAGGCGGGGACTTGGCTAGTAAAGGAGGGGGTTGGGCTTGCTCGACTTTAGGGGGCGGGGACCCGCTTGAGGCTGTGCTCGAGGGGGGTGTCGGCGGGGGCGTTGTCGGCGGGGGTGTTGTGGGCAGGGGTGTTGTGGGCAGGGGTGTGCTAGGCACGTTTGTAGGGGGGGGCTGCAGAGGGGAGGGAAGGCTGGTTCCGGGGAGGGTAGTCGGCGGAGGCCCCTGCAATGTTGGTGGGCTTCCTGCGAAGGGAATTCAAAGAATGCTTTGATGTGCTATCACTCAGAGGGCCATGCTGGGGTCACATCCTATCTGCTTCTAGGCAGACATTGCTCAGTGGATTCACGTGACACTTCAGATTGCTGACACTAGTTAGAAGGGTGTCAGAGTTGGACATGCAATCATTCTTCTGCAGCAGGCTCTCTTGCCGCACATGTAAGACAACCTACTTACACCTCATCGGTTACAACTTGAAGGCTTTTGTACTAAACTGCGCAACCAAGATTGTTTGAGAGCCTAGTCTGGACCACCATCAAATTGGCAGAATGTAAATTGAGTACATGATCAGCACCATTTTCTCCAAGACAACTCCAACATACTCACCGGTTGGCGGGCCTTGCGCTGAAGCAAGGTTGAGCGAGGCAGCCAGAACATATAGTCCTAGCAGCCAGGGCCACACGGAAAGGGGAGCCATCGCGAATGTGCCTAGCAGAGGGAGCAACCAGTTTGTGAGAACCATTTTTGAGAAGTGACAAGAAGAGGAGTTTGCAATGTGGGTCAGCAACGGGAAAGCGGGTCAATATGCACAGACCTATGTCTTCAAGTTGATCTACTTCTGCTCACGCAAGCTTAAAAAAGGTGCTGTGCCCTTGATCCTGGACAGACCTGAACTTAGACTAGGAGATACAAATGCAACTGCAAACCTTGAGACCACAACCATTCAGCAGTAAAGGGAATTCCTGACATGCAAAGATTGTATTCACAGGCTTTTCTTGCAGATCAAAAGCCTACGGCTTTATTCCCAGAGGGCAGACTTTTGTGTGGGCTGATTCATGTGCAGTAGTTTTGCTGCCAGCAGGAAAGCTGATTAAGCCAGAGCTCCCGGTTGTCTCAAAAATTGTGCGAGGAAGCCCCAGAATCTGCAACTTTGAGATACAACCCCCAAACCAGACCAGTAAAACCTCTAAATAACGTACACGCAGATTGATGTTATGTTTCTGTGTTTTCAAAAAGACCTTAAAAAGTTGACCTGTGAATTGAACCTTAGCTTACAAAGGCAGTACTTGCGCAGTCCTGTAGAACAATACTACATGCACAAGTGTCATCATCCAAGTGCAGCTCACCAAATTAAGCTGGATTGAAAGGGGCGCGCTGATATGCCCCAGATCTTCTTGTGGTGACTGAGGGATCACTCAGATGACTAAGGGATCCTTTAGGTGTTAGCGGCTCCAATACGCATTCGAAGGATCTCATTACCTGCAGAAAGACGCGGACCAGACCTCTGATTAAACCCCTCATCAAATGAGGCTGCAAGGCCCACTGCGCACAAATTGGGGTAATTCTGAACAAGCACTTGAGCCCTCAACACCTTTAATGTTGACAAAAGTACTCAAGCAACTAAACGACAAAGATTTGCACTTGCACTAACCAATCCAACGATGTAGATCAATCCACCTGACTAAGTTGGTAGACTAATGCTGGGTGCAATGCTCCATGAGCCACTGAAGGGCCCATAAGGACGGCGTAAGAAAATGTTAGTAGGACACATTAGTCACAGGTATTAGCGATTGGCATGTTGGGGCCCCAGCCTTGTTAAACCTGAGAGTCGTTCTTTCTGGACCAAAGTCTCTCTTCTTTCAAAATCAATTGGCGAGGGTTTCAGAGAGTAAATCCGCAAGATTGTCTCCGCACCAAAATGAAGGAGACAACAAGAGATGCAATTCAGGATCCCGAGCCCCCCTGGATTACCAGACGGCACTGCACACAGCATCACATGGTAACTGTGGAACAATGCTAACGATCAGGCCACATTTGAAGATGGTTGTAACCTGACACCAATATCATTATGACAAGCTAGGCTCAAGAGAGGGTTCAGATCACACCTTCCAAAATCGGATAGTCGTTACGGACGGCTTCAGAGGGATATTGCACTCACCTTTAGCCGTGACGAGTTCCTGCCTCAAGCTCGGCATGCGCAGTAAGTGGCTGCCCGCTTGCTTCTCCCGGCCTCCTTTGGTAGATGCTGAGGGTTCCAGGTTGATCTGTTCCGCAACAACCTGCTCAATCGCAGCTACCACCTGGCTCAGCGGTTGTAGTGGATGGGTTTCAGAGCGCAAGAGAAAACGCCTTTCACTGGCAATGCTGATCAAGAAATTGTGATCCCAAAGCGATATAGCTTGCAAGTACGTGTTTCTCTCCGAATGAGTTCTCTCAACGAAGACGTACGCTCCCTGACTTATCGTCAA